ACGAAAAAGAAAACACAAGGCATCCCGCGTTCACACAGGCAGTGGCGGAGCCATGATTTTCATTAAGGGGAGTCAAAATATAAAAAAATAAACTCACTAAGGGGTGTCATTATATAGTATATATACATATTTTTTTTTAAAATTACCGAGCTAAATAGTGTAATTTTCCGACGATAGGGTGTCGGTTGACACCCTTTTGGGTGCATGTGGCTCTGCCACTGCACACACGGTTCAGGGAAGGGTCGCACTCCCTAAGGGATGTGATGTAAATAGCCTACCCTAATGCAAGCATTAGTGGCTGCTTGCATGGCTCAAACCCGTGACCTATAGGTCACACGGAGACAATTTTACCGTTGCTCCAAGGCTCCTCTTCTGAATGAAAAAGAAAATGAACAGAAATAAACTTAATTGAAATGACTGGTCAAGGAATCAAGGATAAGCTACATACTTGTAGTTCAGCTCTCTGAGCTGCTGCAAGAGCCAATTGGAGAGTGTAATTCGACGTATTGTCAACACTTTCAAGGCTAAATATAATTCTCCATGTAGTAGCATTATACGTGTTATTTCCTATATTCCTGCAGAACAACAGTTTTCCAGAAGTCTCATTGTTAGTCAAATTTACTAATATATAGTATTGTCGGAAAAGGAAAAAAAGAATTAAGATACACACACGCACACAGTTATGTGCGTCTCTATGTATGTTATATAACCCGAATACAAGAGTCAGAAGAAGCTCGAGTGGGGTACCTTGTAACATGAGCAAAAAACCAGTCTGTTGAATAATTGTTAGTCCCAACATTGTAGATGAGATCATTGTCAGGATATAAAGCACTATATTGTTCCCACAAACCATACTGTCTAAATCTGCAGGGAAAAATGGAGTGAATGAACTACAATTTTCTACTATTAAGATAACAAGTCAATATCTAAAAGTATTGTCTCGGAAATTACTAAATCCTACAAAGTGGAGGCAAAGAAAATTTGAGAAGTTCGAAATGCAAATAGGTGATACTGGAATTAGTTTCAGTGCAAGTACGTAAGACTTTTGGAGCATACATTGATTCAGAATTGTTTTGGTATACGTGAACTTTAAATTGTGGGGGTGGAATTGGTACGAAGAATTCAGCAGCTGTGCGATCTGGCACACCGATTTCCCAAAGTGTGACTCCATTTCGTGGAGGATTATAAACCAAACTCCCTAATTCAATACTAGAACCTGTATTTGATACAAATGAAAATTGAAGAAAAAAATAGAGTAGATGAGAATTGAGATAAGAGCATAGGAATTAAGAATATGGGTCACAAAAGAGTCTCATCCTAAACAACAAAAGAATTAAGAAATACTAACAAAATGGGTAAGTAAGAAATTAAAACCTGGAGTAACTTGTACATCAGAAGTGTATTTGTAATCCCCAATAATTCCCGGGACGGTTGCATACAAGTTATATGTACCAGATATGACATTTTCTATGGAAAAATTCCCACTAGCATCTGCTTTAATCCAAAACTGATATCCCTGAAAATGAAACGAAATAAAGTTACTAAATAAATATAATTAAAGAAAATTACTTTAGTTTATTAAGAAATTTACGAATCATGCAACTTTACTTTGTTTTCTCTTTGCCAAGATCCAGAATCTCCTGGTGGTGCTAACCCTACAGAAGCGTTGGATGCTGATATTAAAGTAGTAGTGCTGAAAATACAAATTATAGATCTTATATATTAGTGCGTTTCTATTTAATTGCACATATAAGTTCAAAACTAGTCACACTTCAATAAAGAGTTTTGGCAATCAAACAACACCATGACATTTATGATGCACAATAGTATCTACGCTTGTAGAGAACTGATTTAAAACAGATTATACCTCAAATCCACAATACTCAAAGATACTCCTTTTTCCATTAGTGATTCACAAATAATATGGACGCAGATACCAAAGAATGAAAACACCAGAGGAAAATACCTGTCATTAACGAAAAGTTGACCTCTAACTGCTCCTCTTTGATTAGATTTGATGTAGTCAGTTGAAACTGGAAAATCATAGGGCCAGCTTGTGACTTCTTGATTAATCTGTAAATTCGATGGGAAATTCCTTCAGCAAATATGTTAAGTGTTAACTGAATTCACTCCTAAAGACAGCCCGAATTGGTATTAGCATATAGTAAAAGATTAATATATTACCCTTTTCTTTGCATCATCCCAAAGCATGGATGGACTGTCCTTAGCTGAAGCATCTGAGTTGAGATACAGGCATACAGGGCCAATAACTTTTTTCCAAGGCTCTCCTTGTTGAAATTTGATTACCAGATCTTCTCCGGCATAATGTCTACTTACAAATACCTGAGATCATGAATAAGTAGTCAATATTCCGAAATATAAAAGAGAAGCAAGTGCTACTTAGTGGTATTTAATTAATTCAACACTTACAGAAAGTACAGTTGGACCAACATGTGAAGTGAGATCTTGTTTGTAAGGTCCTCCGGTACGAAACTCATCACTCGGAATTATCATCCAAAACCCTACAGGAGGATTAGCACCTACCCACCCATGAACTCTATCGTCTTTGTTATCATTTACATAGAAATATTTGTCATCCACCTACATATGTGTAGATAAAAATAAACATCAAGGTAAATAACAAATAGAATTTTTGATTATGTAACTAAATGTAGCTCCATCACTTGTCCGAACTATCGAGTGAAATCTTTGAATTATAGATTGCACTTCCCTCTCTAGGCTGAAGGAGAACATGTTCATACATCAAACAACTTCATTCTCCTCCTAACATACTAGGTACTGCTGAACATCTAAGTAAATAAATAAAAGTGTCTCATCTTTAACAGATTAAGCTTTTAAAGGAGATGGTCACACATTGAACAGATACATGGTCTAGAATATGATGGATGTTAGTCTCGATATTTTCATATAGACATATATATTCTAGGTAATTGTAGGATCCTACCTCTCCTTTTAGATCTGGATTAGTTGGATTTGTCAAAAGAACAGCTTCTTTGTAGTCAAGCACCTCGCCCGTCTCTCGATCCACCGGCATTGGCATGACCCTCTGCCTCTCATCCGAGATAGCCATGTAATGAAACCTATGCATACAACATCAGTTTCGTACAATAGAAATTCAATTTTGGGGGTTTAGGGGAGGGAGAAATAGATAATATCTTAAGTAAATGATGAGAAGTTTTAGATTCATACATGTCTTGTTGAAGCTTGAAGACAATCCTTAGATTTTCGATGTAGACAAGGGGCCATCCTTCTAAACGTTCAAATATAGCGTAAGTATAAAATCCGGGTGTGTCTCGCAGCATCACAAACCTGAAAAATCGCCCCTTCAATATAGTACAGATAATACAATTACATATATAAAAATTGTGATTACGGAAAAAGATATATACAATATTGAGCTTTAACAGCACTTCACCTTATGTCAAAGTTTAACGGAAGTTCATCAGATTCAGAAGCATTCCATGTATTTTTAAAAGAAATTTCTGCCTGGTTTTCACTGTCCATTATGACCTCGAAACTTGTTCCTAAGAACCTGCACATGACACAAAAGTAATAGACTTAATTTTGGATAGTAAAAAGGCAACTACGTAAAATCTTTCACAAGAGAAGGTAAAGTTTACTTTTTTCGAACTCTTCGAGATGCTGTCTGATTCCAGAAAACATCCCAATACCTGAAATGTCATACTATTGTTAGTTATTTCCTTCATTGAAAGAAAATTCAAAATACTAAACTGTTTACTGGATATGTTAATTATACCCTCTATCATTTTTGACATTTTGGGTCGCAAGTAAGTTGTCAATTCCACCATATGATATGTTCGTGACGAGACCATCTGGTATTGACAAAGTAACATTGGCGATACCATTGCTCAGTGTCACCTGAAGAGACATAGCATAAGCACGAGACAAAATGCTAAATTTCATGCATCAGAGTAAAAATTAAAACACAAATGTAAATGAAGATTTACTTGTTCAGTTTGTATGTCCAATTTGACGGCTGTCGTTGTTGTCAATCTTCGCCTGTTTTTAGACAAAATAAATATCAAGTCAGCACGAAAATTTGCATAAAGATGACATTTGCTATCAACTTAAAAGGATTGTACAACAGCTAGCAGATCTCCCACTTAATACAAAATCGTTAAAGCTTAGACTAAACTGCACACCCCCTGCTGTAGATTTAGACAGAAGAAATCTCTTATATAATCAAAACTCTGAACTTTGTGAGATATTTCACTATGAGTATGTGACTGGAAAAACTTATTTTTGCTTACACCAACTAATGAATACAAGACATGTGCCATCTACATACACTTTTATAACTTCACCATGGTTGATTAATATGTAATCTTTTAAACCAAACAACTCAAGTGTTTCTATTGAGAATTTTGTTAAAAAATACTATCGAGTTAACTGGGCTGGCTCCCTGTCCCCGATATGTAACGAAAATATTGACTGGTTTACCACACTCATTCATTAAAGCACTTGCCTTGCTTTGGTGGTCTTTTAAACACCCCCTCTCCCCCGATCCGGTTGAATGCCTCCTCCCCCCGCCGATTTGTCCAACCTTCTCTATCAGCTGGTCTGGCAGAGGATCATGCTAGGGTGAGATGATCGTCCCACCCCTGCTTACAGATTACTAAGTCAAAGCAAGGGGTTGAAAACACACTACAAGAAACGGGAACGGCGTCCTGACTAAATAAGAGTCTGTTCAATAATGGCTTGGCCGAAAGTCGTAAAGAAGTCACCTCCCTCCATTCCAGTTTTATGTGGCATTGTTTCCTTTTTAGTTTGTTTCAAAGAGAATGTTAGCTTTCTAAAATTTGGAAATACTTCAACTTTAAACTTCTCATTTTACCTTTAACAAAAAGTTTTTATGGGCACACAAATGTCATACAATATTTAAGACCACAAGCTACAAAAGTCGCATTTCTTTATTACTTTGCCACACAAATTGGAACAGGGGGAACTAGTAAAAAGAACAAGAAAAAGAGAGCAGGAATTATTCTCAACTACTCACCAGGGAGCTATTTAAACACTAAGTAGCTTAGAAAGGGAAAACGTGAAAACTTCACCATTGCAGCCAAGGGAAAATACAGCAGCAACCTCCAAGTATTTCTTTAGTGTAAAAATAGCAAACACTTTTAACAATCCCAACACTATTATTTTGCTTAAATAGGAAAAGTTTTAGTATTATATGCTGGATTATGTAGTTTTTGCGTATAAATTTTCTCCGTTTATGTTCGAATTCTATCACACAGAAAGTTCCAGTATATTATCATTGAAGCTCGTGCGTATAAACTTCCAGCATATTATATTAGAATTCCACCACATTATGCTGAAATTTTTCCGAAATTTATTATTTAAATTTTATCTTTACGTGAAAAAGTAACTAAATTTGGGTCATAACTATTTTTTAATTACAGTTATAAGCCTGGTTGTTTTCTTTTCTTTTTTGCCCTTTATCACTCATCTGTAGAGTTATTCACTTTTCTTTGTTTTGTATCAAAAGTCCCTCTATTTTTGCATATTTGGCATAAGGTCACTCATTGTGGTGATGAGGTTGCACCAGGGATTGACTCTTAACCCATTTTTATTCACCTTGGCGATGGATGTATTGCCGCGTCACATCCAAGGGGAGGTACCTTGGTGCATGCTATTTGCCGATGATATAGTGTTGATTGACAAGACACGTAGCGGACTTGACGCGAGGTTAGAGGTTTGGAGACAGACCTTGGAGTCTAAAGGTTTCAAACTGAGTAGAACCAAGAC